TTCTTATTTTCGATATAACTCTTTTGGAACTCGATTAGGATGCGATATAAAGACCTAGAACTGTCATATGTCAGGAAAGAACGCATTGGGAGGAGGAAAACACATCTTAGAGAGGATTTTGAGCAAGAGTAATAAAAAATTTCATGGAGATCATCGAGATTTCACCCGAATTCATAACTCATTGTGTTCTTTCTTCAAGTCAACATGTATTTTGTTATTTTCTCCATGTTAGGCTAAATATTTTTGTACTAGGAGATCAATGAACTTTGTTATGTGATACTTAATTCTTCATTTCTTGATTTTGACATTATAATACGTTTGAATTATTTTGAATGATTTATATGTACTTATTTTCTCCACAATTATTGTGCACGTAATTTGTGTGAGTTTCATGACGTGTTCTTGCATTAAAGAGAAGTGGAATAGGTTCTACATGATATAAATCATCGTAGGGTCCGACAGAGGATAGAGATATGCCTCTATGCCTTACATAAATATTTAAGTGCTCACAAAACCACATGCGTTTTTATACATATGCATCCGTCATAAAAATATAGGCAGGTGGTGTATGAAAATAGGTTTAGTGCCACTCGAGAGAGGGTATTGGATAAATTTAGGAGCATTGATTTTTCAAAATTTCATCGTGTTGTCAGATTGTGAAATCAGGGTTAAATTGAATATTGCTTGGGAATTCACAATCCTAGTGCTTTTAATTCTCATTGCATATAATCAAATTGCGTTTCAACCATCAAATTGCATTTTAATTCATTTAAAAACATAGTTTTGCATATTTAATTCATTCAAATATCACATTTACAAAATTAGGGCTTTCTTGAAATTAGGGTTTTCTTAGGTTGAAAATTTATTCTTGATAATTTAGTTTCGGTTAAGGTTACGATAGATAAAATTGAACTACTCAATCTTTGTGGGACGACATTCGGACTCAGTTTATCCACTTTATTACTTGTTGCGAACCATTCACTTGCGGTGTGTTAAATCAAAATCATAATTTCATGAACACCTAGCAACAATGTCAACAATCTCAAGCTCTAAGATAAAATTTCACAACCACAATCTATGAATAGTGGCCTTAAAACACTCTACAAATTCAGCTTCCCTAGTTGACAAAGCAGTAATAGTTTGTTTAGCACATTTTCAAGAGATCACTCCTCCAGCTAATAGGAACAAATAACCAATGTTGACTTTTGACTATCAATTCATCCAAAAAAAAGTTGAATCTTAGTAGCCAATCACCTCAAGTTCATTAGATCTCTTATATGTGAGTAAGTAGTCATTTTGTAACACCCTGCATTGTTCTTACTATGTGAACCTAAACTTGTCATTTAGCATAAATGATTTATTTGTTTACATGAACTTTTTAAAAATTATTTGAGTCAAATATTTAAAGTTGATGAAAATATATCAATATTATACTCGTTTTATAGCTCGTGTTAAATAATATAATTTGGAATCAAGAAAAAGTAATTTTGAGCTCGTATGCAAGAGTTATTCTAATAAAAAGAAATATGCTATCTTTTAATATTTGATTAATATATAATATAAAATAATTTTCCTTCTAGAAATCTGTACTGATTATAATGGTATGAAAAGAACAGGTTTTAATATAATTAAAGTTATTAAACCTAATTATCCCATTAGCCTTTATAATAAATATATTTGTTAGCCTCATCATATTCACAAGCCGTTTTTGTATTAATGTTACATGTATGGTGGCTAATTCCATTAATATTCAATTAACGAGAAGATGCCTTTTAACATTTCTATAAGTTACGTGTGTGGCGAAAAAATTATATATACACGAGATGTGAATGATTTTCCTTCTACAACAATAATATTATACATATTTCGTTCTACTATATATATATATATATATATATATATATATATTCAAAAGTCATTTTCAAATAAATTCTTGGATATCAAATTGAGGTAAGAATACATGATGCAAGTGGTAAATTCTTATTCCTTGATATTTGTATAAATTTTGGCATAAAATGCTATGAGGCCTTCGGGTCGAATTCTATGTTAAATCCTTCAGGATGGACCGTTAGGTCAAAGAGAAGAAGTTAAATCCTTCGAGATGGACCGTGAGGTCAAAGAGAAAATGTTAAATCCTTCGGGATGGACCGTTTGGTCAAAGATGTTAAATCCTATGGGATATAGGAATTCTTAAGAATTTCTTGAGCTCTAAATCTAAGAAATATTGATATGTTATGCTATTTTTATATTTATATTATGTGAATAAGGATGTGCACGTATTCTTACTGAGTGTTTTCAAAATACTCACTCTTACAATATTTCCAGATGAGAACGAGTCGTGTGGACGCGTGGAGGATTGACAAAGCGATGCTAATGGGGTCGTCAAGTAAATTTTCTAGAAAGATAATTGTCCACTTTTATTTGAAGAATATTGTATGTATGTTATTTAATATGTTGTTCAAGCATTCGATATGTTATGTTAAATTTTAAATTAATAATTTCAAATCGAGTATTTTCGATATATATTTTCGCTTATTTTAATTTAAAAATAATATAATAATATGAAAAAGAATTCGGGGCGTTAACATTTGTCACTTACAAATACTACATCACTTTCTTTGCAACTTTCCAATGATCCATTCTAGGATTACTTTGGTATCTGTCGAGCATATCAACTGTAAAGTTAATGTCTGGTCTAATGCAAGTTTGGGCAAATATCAAGCCTCCAATAGCAGAAGCATAGGGAATTTCTTCCATTTGCTTATGTACCCATTCATTCTATGGACACTGCATAAGACTAAACTTATCTCTTTTTTGTATTGGAGCAACACTAGCTTAATAGTTTTTCATATCGAATCTGTTCAGAATATATATATATATATACGCATATATATATATATATGTACACACACACACACACACACACACACACACACACACATATATATATATATATATTCCGTTGGGATTGGTTCTTTTTTGTATATCCTTATTCTATATTCTAGCGAACTCATATTTTGTAGCTGCGTATTTATGTGAGAGCTATAAATATTTTAATAATTTTTGTTGTGATGTTTATGAGTGGTTCTGAATATTAGTTTTTTCCCTGGAGAAGAAACAATGACGATATTTGGGGATAAGCATTAGTTAACTCTGTGCCAGCAGCTGTGGTAAGACAAAAGATGCAAGCGTTATCCTTTTTTTTCATTTTCTTTGTGTGTCTTCTTGTTCTATCTCCTTGTCCTTCAAATAAATATAAAACCCCAGAGTATATCTTTCCACGGGTCAAAGCAAAAAAGATACTTCAAATATTTTTCTATTGAGTTTAATCTCTTAGAAACAGAGAATTTCCTTTTTTCCCTATTGGGAGGCTCGTTACTTCAACTAGTTCCCATGTTCCTCGAATGGATCTCTTAGTTGTTGAGAAGGTTGCCCAAAAGTGGTATAAATCTCTTGTTCTTATTATAGGATCGTGATTAGATCCACATATGTTTGGTAAAGAGAATAATCTTCTCCTTTGAAAATTATCAAAAATGGAATGTGTTAAATTGGAATATGAAAACGTGACTAAATGGTCCTAGTTACTCTTCGGGACAGAGTGGAAGAAGGGAGGGGATTCTCGAACGCGGAAAATGATCCAATGAATTTGAAAGAATTGAACGAGTCCCCCTTTAATCCTTTGAGCGAAATGCGGCAAAAGAAAAGGAAAGAAAATCCATGGACTGACCCCATCATCTCTACCTCTTAGGAACTACGAGATCACCCCTAGCGAAGAGCCGACATCGAGGTGCCAAACCTTCCCGTCGATGTGAGCTCTTGGGGAAGATCAGCTTGTTATCCCTAGACTAACTTTTATCCATTGAGCGACGGCCCTTATATATATCAAGGAATATTTCTTTGCCTATCACATAAGTTGTCTCACCTATATCTTTCTTTTCAAAATTTTTAAAGAGAAATTCCTTATTTTCATGCAACATGCCAAGATTACTACTAGCAAACAATATGTCATCAACATACAGAACAAAAATTGTAAACTTACTTCCACTAATCTTCAGGTATATACATCGATCAACAGTGTTTTCCTTAAAATCAAAGGATACAATGATATAATTGAATTTTTAAGATACCATTGTTTGAAAGCTTGTTTGAGTCCATATATTTACTTCTTTAGTTTGCAAACCATGTGTTATTTTCCCTTAGGGAAACCTTTAGGTTGACCATATAAATTTCTTCTTTTAAACTCCCATTAAAAAAAGTTGTTTTCACATCCATTTGGTGCAACTCTAAATTATAAAATGCAATCAAAGCCCTAACGATTATGAGGGAGTTCTTCTTAGGTAGGAAGATGTCTCTTTATAATCAATGCCTCAATTCTGAGTAAAACATTTGGCCACAGGTCTAACCTTTTTGTTGTTTAATATTTTGTTTAGAGTCACACTTAATCTTAAAGATTCAATTACAATCGAATGTTTTACAACTTTTGGACAATTCAACAAGATCTTAGACTTGATTTGGGTCCATGAATTTTAACTCATTACTCATGGCATCAATCTATTTTGCAGAGTCATCATTTTCTATGGCTTGTACAATTAAAATCAGATCTTTTCAAATCCCTTGATCAAAAATTGATTCTCGTAGATATATCACATAATCATTTGGAATAGTGGGCCTTCTTTGTCTTTGAGATCTCTGTTACATTTCATTTTATACTAGTTAAAAGTCCATATAATTTATTCAAAGTCAAAAGTTAGACTAGTCAAAGTCAATTATGGACTTAAATGGAATAAATTGTTTTACTGGGGTTTATTTTATATTTTAGATACTTGAGGATTTATAATGGACATGATTTAAATTGAAGAATTTATTTTATAAGTATGGAAAGTTTAATGACCAGATTTTATACAAAACATAAAAGGAAGGACTTGAATAGCAAATATGGGAGTTAGGAGGACAAGTGTCATTGTAGATGCCATTTCTTCATTTTCTATTCATATAGACACATATATCCAAAATGCTGAAATGGGAAAAAGAAGCAGAGAAAATCGGTGGAAAATGAAACAGGAAGAAAGGAGGGAAAAAAATAAAAAATAAAAAAATTGGTGGTGTCGGCCAACGACGCATAGGAGGGAAGATACACTTCTTCAAGTATTGGGTTGTCTTTCATATCCTCATTTCTTCTACAATCTCAAGTGAGTAAGTTTTATACAAACTTAGATTTCTTATTTTAGCTCAACAAGTGAAAAATATGCCCAATTTCTTGATGGTCTAGTATGGATAAACTATTTTTTTTAAGCTTTTAAGTTATGTGAATCAAATATATATTAATTCTGGGGTTCGAACTTTGTGGACGGAAATTCAGCTAGTAGTTGGGTTAGAATTGAAATTTAAATAAAGAAACCAAAAGGCAAGTGAGGAATTGTCAATTAATGATTTGATTGGTACCTGTATATGTATGTGTATAGTGACTGAAATTATTAAAAAGGGAACATACCTAATTACATAGCTTGATGCAAGTGTGGGAAGTTGTAAACTGGTGAAGAAAGAGATGAAATAGTGTTTAATTGGAATTAAATTTAGTTTAAATGTGGTAAGTTCTTTATTTAATTAATTTTATTATTACAGTAGCAATGAAAAGGGACAAGATGAAGAGTGTAGATACAAGATGTTGGAAGGCAGTATGTTATTGTGCTAATGTAGTAGGGAAATGAATGTGGAAGAAGAACATATTCTGTAAATAAATTGGGCTTCGTAAACAAAAAAATGTTATGCTGTATGGATATTAAAAAGGGAATAAAGGGGTTGCGTAAGGAATGAATTAAGTTGTGTAAAGCGGTTATATATTTATAAGGTAGTGATTTTAAGAAAGTATAGTAATTTAATGGATTTGATTCTGTGTTGTGATAGTTTGGCAAATAATCAAAGAGGAAAAGAGTTGGAGAAATAGAGGTGAAGGTAGTGACGTGCAAGCTTGGAAATGCTCGTCAATTTAATCAAATTTCTATCCATAAATCGGTGAGTGGAAAAATATAAATATTTTTAAAATATTTATAAATTAAGTATATTGTCAAAGTATGTGCAATTATGTGTTCGAATTATATGGTTATTATGGAAATCTATTTTATTATGATACATGTGAAATATAAAAGATTATTTATGGTATATTTGTGACTTGCTATATAAGACATGTGATATTGAGATTTGTTTGGTATGTGAGACATGCAATATTGAGATCGGCCAGAAAAGTACCCATGATTATATATTTCTTCTAGTTCACAGAGGGGCCTTGGCCGTGTTCTATCCTACACGGAGGGTCTTGACTTGACATTGGTCTTGATCGTGTACATATAGTTCACAGAGGGGTCTTGGCCGTGTTCTAGAATTGATTATGAGAGATCTTTGAGACCGACTTTCGTTCACAGAGGGGGCCAAAGGCCCATGGCGAAAGTTCTTAGTCCAAGGGGCGGATTATATATTTCAGTCAGAGGGTACATTTTTTGTGGATTTTTAATGAGATTATAGCATGGTTATCAACTGATGTCTATATCATGATTTTAAGATGATATTTTATGACCTTATGTGAATATTTCACTTTTTGGCTATAATTACATGATGGTAGCTTGTGAATTATCAAATGATATAAATTTGATATTCGATAAAAATATATAAATGAAAAAGTATAACTATTTCAAACTTCTCCACTCACTGAGCTATCAACTCATATATTTTTCCATCCTTTTTAGCTGGAAGAGCCTAATGATTTCAGAATGAGAGCCACACGACATGTTGAATATTATAACTCATATTGATGAAGCATGAAGTAAATAATTTGGACCCATCGCATATGTTTTACATAAGTATTTGATTTTGTTGCATTTTTTGAAATAACTCATAGTCAGCCTTGGTGGTGGATCTGACATCTAGTCAGCATCTATCATCGGCACACGTCACATTTCGAGTCCACTAGGGTGATTCGAGACGGGTCGTGTCATCTCCTTAATGCTATCCCTTGTGCTAGTACTTCAATTAACTCAGGATTGATAGCCTCATCATGGAGTGTTTTGATCATTAATATGTTGTTCATCATTGTTAAACTGTTCAAAAACTATAGTAACAACAACTTTCTCTGAATGGATGACCTGGTTGTCTATATCACAAGTTAGAAGAACTTTCATTTATCAAGATACCTTTAGTTCCAACATTAAAATGCAAGGTCATAGGAATTTCAACAAACTGGTTATTGAGATTTATTTTATACAAGCCAGCGCATAAAATACTAGAACCAAGAAATAAATTATTCTTAAACATACTGATTCTTTTATTCCCAAGCTTAAAGAAATATCCGTCAACATCAAGTTTAGAAATTGAAATTAAATTTCTAGAAATAGAAGGAACGTAAAGTGTCTAAAGCAAATCTAAATGATAATTAGTATCTAAAAACAAACAATAGGTTCCAACAGCAAAAACTAGAACTTTGACCACATTCTCCATGACAACGAAGTTTTCATTTGGACTTAGGATCTGGTATGTAAGGAATCTCTACATCGTATATGAAACATGAACATTAGAACCTGAATCAAACCACCAAGTATTAGAAAGAATTTCAGTAAGATGAGATTCAAAACATGCGCAAGCGAAAGGCTTACCTTTCTCTTAAAACCATGCCTTATGTTTGGGGCAATCATTGCGGCAAAAGTGACATCTACTATTGTTTTGCTCTTTCTTGTAAGCCCAGCAACATTATGAGGCTCCTTAGCTTTATGTGTTCCATGCTTGATGTCCTCTCTTGGCATTTTCCTTTCTTTTTGGCTCCATAATTTTCAAGGTTGACTAAATGATGTCCTCATTACTTATATCTTGTCTCCTCTTGAACAAGTATACTGGCCATTTATTCACGTTCCCATTTATCCTTAATAATGCTGTTGTGAATTTGAAATGACATATGTTGAGGATGCAAGAAATTCTTAACAAATTGAACGGGAAAGACTCATCCACTTTCATCCCAAGAGCCTCGAGTTTGGCGGCTAGATTTGTCTTTTCAATTATATGCTCATGCATCCCACGGGTAATATCGAACTTCATGTTGGTTAGTTGAGCCATTGATGTCCCAACTAGAGACTTGTCAGTAGATCGAAAAAATATTCCATCATTTTCAACCAGGCTTAAGTGTCGAAATAGACGAATCTAGCTAATGTTGCAATACAAGAACTAAGACTACAAAATAAATAAACAAAAAATCTCACAACATTAATGCTTTGAGTTAACAACTATAAATATGAACATGCACATGAGCAATTCTACCACAGTCCAACTTTGAGTTCTAATTATAGTATACTAATTAACAATTACGGTGACTCCCTTTCACCTAGGAATGATCTGTGATATTAGGTCCACAATTTCAAATAGATCTGCTACCGAGGTATCTAATGCCTACTTGAACTAAAGATACTCAATTACTATCCTAATTCAGTAAATCAATCACCTAGAAGTGGTGCACATTTGGGCCAATCCATAATATCTAGTGGTTCAAAAACTGGAATTTATAATTGGATTAAACTAGTTGTACATTCCTAGTGTACAGTAAGTTTGACATTGTGTGATATGTAGAAAACTGTGCGTTGATTTGTATAAGTATGGTTTAAATTAATGACCATGATTGTTGTCATATCAAACGATGTCAAATATAATGTCAAACACAACGTATATGTAGCAGAATTGTTTTTAATTTGCCAAGGCATTATCCTAATACATGGGAAAGGGCAATATATGACTTCATATCTATCAAACATTCAAGTTGGGCCACTTTGGCAGCTACCAAACTATATCATAATATAGATATTTAGTCAAAATAATAACTGTGTACATAAGATAATTCAGCAATAATTGTAATCATCAAAACAAAGCATGGCCATTATAATCAATAGATGGCAATGACTGTAAAAGAATCAAATCAGTTTCTTGGCAACATCATTTGATATTGATAAAACATACTACCATAATTCAAGAGAAAAGTGTATGCATACAAAATGTCAATTGACCACAATATTAAAAAAAATGCAATTTGTCAACTCGATGTTCAGAATAAGGTGGCCGAAATAGGAAAAGTCAATTGACCACAATATTAAAAAAAATGCAATTTGTCAACTCGATGTTCAGAATAAGGTGGCCGAAAAAAAAAAAAAAAAAAAAAAAAAAAAAACAAAAAGG